CGCGGGAGCCCGGAGCGCGGACGTACCCCGCCGCCGCAGCCACCGCCTGCTCCCGGCCCCGCCGCCCGGCGCGTGGGTGAGGGCGCCGCCTGCTTGGAGCCTGAGCGCCGTGGTACAGGCCCTGGGGCGCGGCGCAGCGACTTCCTGCAGAAGACCGGCAGCAACTCCTTCACCGTCCACCCTCGGGGCCTGCACCGCAGCGCGGGCCCTCGCCCGCTCCGCAACGAGCCTGCAGCCCCCGCGTCCCGAGCCGGCGCTGCCAACGGCCTCGCGGGCTCTGCGCCTGGGCCGGGCGAGTGGAAGCCAAAGGTGGAGTCGGGGGAGGCCCCCGTCCACCCGCCCCCCAGCCCCGGGACCCCCAGTGCCACTCCAGCCGCGTCCCTGGCCTTGCCCACACCCAGCCCCGCCAGTGCCACTCCCAGCCAGCGCCAGTGGGTCTCCGCGGCCACCAGCGCCAATGACTCCTTTGAGATACGGCCGGCCTCCAAGCCAGACATGGATAGGATCCCTGCTGGGGACCTCCAGGCCCGGGCCCTGGCCAGCCTCCGTGTGAACTCCCGAAACTCCTTCGTGTTCATCCCCAAGCGCAAAGACTCTGGGGCCCCTCCTCCTGAAGGGAGGCAGGCCAGGGGGCTGCCAGAGAGAGAGGTTGGCTGGGCCTCCCAAAGCCTGGAGCTCGAAGCCCAGCTGGTGCCTGGAAGGGATAGGGTGCCTGCTGGAGGGAGGAGCCCCCTGGGGGTCGAGGAGGGGGCCTCCCCCAGGCCAGCTACTGCCCTCGTGGACCAGGCTGTTCGAGAGCAGAGGCTGTCCTCACCATCCCTGTGTCCGCCAGCTGCTGCCGAAGCTAAGCCTGCCCAGGGCCTCGGGGTTCCCAGCTTGGCCAAGAACGGCAGGGAGCCTGGGAGGCCAGGGTTGCCTGTTACCTTCATTGATGAGGTGGACTCAGAGGATGAGGTCCCCCAAGAAGCCAAACTGCACTGCTTGGGGGCTGGTGGGCCTCCTTGGTACCACCCGCACCCCACTGGGCCTGGGCACCCGTCAGGGCGCCAGCCCCGAGGTGGCAACACCTTCACTGTGGTGCCCAAGAGAAAACCAGGGTCCCTGCAGAGCAATGGGGAGCCCGGGCCACAGGAGGCTGAGGAGGAGGCAGGCAGCTTGTCAGATCCCCCTGCCGCCCTGGGGACCACACTGAAGAAGCGCTATCCCACCGTGCATGAGATTGAGGTGATTGGTGGCTACCTGGCTCTAGAGAAGTCCTGCCTCACCAAGGCTGGCTCCTCGAGAAAGAAGGTCAGTGGGGGGAGCAGGGGGGAGAGCCACTGGCTGGGAGGGAGAGAGAGGTCACGGGTCACAGAGCTGTGGGTCTAGCATGTGCCCGCTTCCTAGGACACTGGGCTTGGCTGGAGGATGGCTTCTTTGTGGACCAGAGGAGACCCTGGACTGGGTGGCCATGCAAGCTCCAGGAGGGGCTGAGCTGGGGAGGGAGGATCCCTGGTTTGGGCTCCAGTAGAGCCCTAATGGCCCAGAGGGGACAGCGTAAGGTGTACTTTGTAAGGCTGTGGGGAGGTCAGTCCAGTCAGCACCATGGCTGCCGTTCTGTTCCTGCGGCTGCATCTGGAATTGGTGGGGCACACCTGTCTCATCGTGGGTCCAGCTGGTACAAGCAGTTCTGGGCCTCTTGGTTCCACGCTGGCCCTGGCTTCTTGGCCTTCTGGAGTCCTGGCCTATGTGGGTCGCAGGTGCCAGGACAGAAGTGGGAAGGCACAGGAGGCCTGTGATTTGGGTGTGGTCAGATCCCTACCCCACTGTCAGCCTAGGGGTGCAGCACTGGGAACCACTCAGTGGGAGGCTGTCAACTCCCCCAGAAGGCGTGTTGGCCTGGAGCTCAGCAGGACCTGGCTTCATGCAAGTGTTTCTTGAACTTCTAGTGTGTGCCAGGCCTGGGGTGTGATGCTGGAAGCAGTGTAGACTCTCCCCCTCATTGGGGGGGATGGGCCTCAGGCAGAGACCCAGCTGCAAGACCAGGAGCCCTGCTGGAGCCTTAATCCCCATCTGCCCAGTGGCCTGGAACCCTCTGGGCTCAAGGAAACGTTCCTCAGATTCTTCCTGGTCATTCTAGCATCTGGGTCCGGCCCAGGGGCAAATTCCAAAGCCAGCCCCACCTGACCCCCATCAGCAGATGCGGGGCAGTTGTGCCTTGCCCTGGAACTGAGATGGCGCCTGGCAGGCTTCTCCGTTGGTTCCCTTGAAGCTACCTTTGCCACCACCCTCAAGTTCCTTGGGGCGATGAGGGTGGTGATGTGCTTTGTGTCACCAAAGCCCCCCCCCCCCCCCTGTCGCTGGTGCGGGCTGGTTGTCTAATCACGTGAGCCACCTCCTCCCTCTCTTTGCCATGGGTTGGCCTTGCACTGCTCTTCCTGCATGTATCCTCCCCTCCTCCTTGGGTGAGGGCATTGGTGCTCCCGCCCGCTCCATCTGCTGGGACAGGCGTCCACACCCACCTGCCTTTGGTACTTCCGGTGGGCCCATCTTGCCTGCCTGACCTTGACTCACCCTCTCTTTAGTGCTATGGGCCACAACTCTCCCACCCTCGCTCCTGCCCTTTGCCGTGGTCCTCAGCCCTACCTCCCCACTCCTGCTCCCTGACTGTTGACCCTGAACTGGGAGGCAGTACCT